ACAGCCCTTAACAAAACTATGCTTCAGGGTTTCTTCACAAAGCCTCTTAGCGCATAGCTTATAAGCATTAAATTTCCCCTCATTTCAGAGCTTAACCAATAATGAATCAACGCCCTAGTGAAAAGGCTGTCCCTGATACAACATGATTTTTTTTTTTAATGCGAAAACATCCTTATCCTCAGTTACTGAATGAGACATGCAACTTTTTGCTGGCAGAAACCCACACTTGTCCATTTCCACTGTACCATGTCTTATCAAATACCCAGTCACAGTTGTGTTGTTGCATGAGACCCTATGGACACCTCTCCCCCTCTTCCCTGCCCAGATTCTGCACTCGCATCGTTTGGCACTTTCCATCGGCATCCACGTGGATCTCAGCTGCCTCTGAAAAGCTGTGTTTTCGGGCAAAAATAAATAAATAAATAAATAAATCTTAACTCAAGATCTGTAAGCTTACATCTTCCCCGTGTGCTGAGAGGGACCTGGGAGGGCTGACCTCACAGTCGCCTTGCTCCCCAGTTCAGAAGACACCCACGTCCGGGACCCCACGGCGCCCGGGACTGGAGTGCCGGGTACCCACCTGACCAGCGGCTCCTTCTCCGGCCGCGCGGGCTCCTCCAGGCAGCGGCACGGGCAGCAGCAGCACGCGCTCCGCAGCCAGCCCCGCAGCCCCATGGAAAGCCGGGGCCAGGCGCGGGGCTCCCGGAGGCCGGCGCGCGCTCGCGGCTAGGGCGCGGGCACAGGGGTGGCCGGGGCGTCACCTGCCAGTCCGTACGCATCACGCCGAGGCGGGGGACGCGGCTGGCGGCGCTCCGCCCGGGCAGGTCCGGGCGGTGTTGTCTCGGCCTGAGCTTTTTTTCCCTCGCTCTTTTAATTCCCCGGGTGCCTCTTGGGCGCTTGCGTGCCCGCGACGCCCCGCTGCTGCCCTCTCCGGAGGAAGCGGGCACTCCAGCGCTCCGCGGGACCGGGCAGCCAGCGGCTGTGGCCGGGTCTGCAGGGCCGCGAGGGTAAAGTGGAGCTGCAGAGCACGAGGCTGGTCCGAATCCAATCGTCCTTTTCATCGGCTTCCCTGCGGGAGGAAATAAAAGGTCTTCCCACAAAACAGACCTTGAAAAAGTTTTCAAACTTCCAGTCTTTGCGAATCTGGGGCGGGGGGGGGGGGGGCCACAACTTGTGAGTACCAGAATTGTGCTATTTATATGTTTTATATGTAGATGTATTTTTTTATGTTTGTACAATTTTGTAAATTTATGTGCACATTCCCCCTCCTCACTTTATGCCCAATCAGAAGCTTACCGCACACATTTTCACTCCTGGTTTGTGTGGCTTAAAGGGTCATTGCAGACTAACTTTTTAAAATATTTTATTATTTTTATGCATATGAGTCTATGCTTTTATATAAATGTACCCATGTTGTGCAATGCCCGTGGAGTCAGAAGAGAGCCTCAGATCCCTCTGGAGCTGGAGTTATGGACGGTTGTTAGCCACCATGTGGGTGCTGGGAACCAAACTTAGGTCTTATGCAGAAGCAGCCAGTGCTCTTAACCGCTGAGCCATCTCTGCAGCCCAGGTTACTGTATATGAATGGGGGCATGTAATGCAGTCGTATTGGTGCCCATGTTATTTATCCAGATTCTTAATGATGAACATGTAGACTAATTCCAACCTTGTGTTACTAACAGGACCATTGTGCACATCGTTGGGCCAGTGTGCTTGGATATATCTAGATTAGTTGAATGAATGTTTAGCGGTTCAATTGTTGGGTCATAGGTAAGATGCACTTTTAATTTTTTTAAAGATTTATTTTTACTTATGTGTATGAGTATGTGTGTCTGTGTGTGTATGTCACATATGTGGAGTTGCCCACAGAGGCCAAAAGAGGGCATTGGATCCCCTAGAATAGGAGTTTCAGATGGTTGTGAGCTGCCTGATGTAGATGCTTAGAACAGAACCTGGGTCCTCTGGAAGAGCATCCAGCACTCTAACCACTGACCCATCTCTCCAATACCAAAATTTGGTGTGTGTAGCAGGGTCTAAACTATGTAGCTCTGAGACAGGGTCCAACTGTGTAGCCCTAGCTGGCATTGAACTCACAGAGGTCTGCCTGTCTCTGCCTCCCAAGCATGGGATTAAAACTGTATGCCACCATGCCCAGCCTGCCTTTTTAATTTTTTTAATATTTTATTTATTATTTTTATTTTATGTGTATGTGTGTATTGCCTGCATGTAGGTAAGTGCACCTGTGTCATGCAGTGCCTTCAGAGAACAGAAGAGACTGTCAGATCCCCTGGAACTGGAGTTAGAGACGGTTCATAGCCGCCAAGTGGGTGCTGGGAATCAAACCCAGGTCCTCTGCAAGAGCCATCATTGCTCTGAACCACTGAGCCATCTCTCCAGCCCCACCTCCTGCCTTTTTAATTTTGATGAACCTTACCAAATTGCTCTCTGGTGAGTAGCTTCAATTCAGACTCTAACGTATGAAAAAAAATTCTATACACCATCCATATAAGCTATTTTTTTTTGCCAATCTGATTTATTCAAGAAATATTTATTATCAGTTATGTGCCAGGCATGTTTTAGAAGATGGCAATACAGTAATTAATAAAACCAACAAAAAGTGTGTATTCATGTAAATATTGTAGAGCAGGAGTTAGACAAATAAAACAAGTACATATTCAAGTATGTTAACATGAAGTTAGCATACACAATAGAAAAAATAAGGCATGCAGGGGTGTAGGCATGGGTGTGACAAAAGATCAAACCCACGGTCTTGCTTGTGCTAGGTTCTACCCCTGAGCTACAGTCCCAGCACCCCAGAGCTCTCCATATGTTTTACTTTGAAAAGGGCCTCATTTAACCCAAGCTGACTTTAAACTCCCTATCTAGCCGATGATGACCTTGAACCTCTGATTCTCCTACCTCCTCCTTCCAAGTGCTGAGATTACAGATGTGTGCCACCACACCCAATGTATGCAGTGCTGGGTATGGAACCCATGCTCATGCTAGGCAAGCACACTACCAACTAAGTGGCATTCTAGCCCAAGAACTGCGTCATTTTAGTGACTTTGATCAAGAGGTTAATTCTCTGCCTTAGCAAAGATCACATCTAGTTTATGCCTACTCCTAAAATTACTATTTTTCTAAGTTAAGGCATAAATAAAACATCCTCTAAAAAACTAAAATATTACGGTTCAAGGTCCCTCTTAAATGTTTTTATTACATTTTTTGGGGGAGGGGACACAAGTGCTATAGATATGCATGTGGAGGTCAGAGAACAACTTATAGGAGTCAGTCCATCTGAGTCCTGGGGATCCAACTGAGATTGTCAGGCTTGGTGGCAAGCGTCTTTACCCACTGAGCCATCTCACCAGCCCTGATTCAAGTTCCCTTTGACTATTATGTATAATAAGTATCTTCCTAAGTTTATTATTACCACTGTGGAATATATATATCAGTGATGAGTTTTGTTTTATATGTAAAACAAATATAGGAACTGGAGAGATGGCTCAGTGGTTAAGAGCACTGGCTGCTCTTGCAGAGGACCTGGGTTTGGTTCCCAGCACCCACATGGCAGCTAACAACCATCCTTAACTCCAGTTCCAGAGTATTCAACACCCTCTTCTGGCCTCCATGAGCATTGCACGCATGGGTGTACCTACAAACATATAAGCACAACACTGATATACATAAAATAAAAATAAATTTAAATTTTTAAAAAATATATATCATGTATTTCATATATATATCAGCTATTCATCTATCTATTCACAAGCTCTTTACACTTAATAATGTGCCTTGTATATCTATTTCAACACCCTCTTCTGGCCTCCATGAGCATTGCACGCATGGGTGTACCTACAAACATATAAGCACAACACTGATATACATAAAATAAAAATAAATTTAAATTTTTAAAAAATATATATCATGTATTTCATATATATATCAGCTATTCATCTATCTATTCACAAGCTCTTTACACTTAATAATGTGCCTTGTATATCTATCTTTATTAATAAAAGGCATAATGCTTCCTTTATAACTGATGTGACCATTCTAAAATCTCTTTAATTTTTTTAATTTTATTTTATGTGTATGAGTGTTTAAGTGCACCACATGGGTGCAGTGCCCTCAGAGTCCAAAAGAGGGCACCAGATCCCCTAAGACTGGAGTTACAGATGGTTGTTAGCTGCCATGTGGGTTCTGGGAACTGAACCCAGGTCCTCTTCAAGAGCAGCCAGTATTCTTAACGGCTGAGCCAGCTCTTCAGCCCCAATGACTATTCTATTTATTAGATTTTTTTTTTACATTCGTGCCTCTGTGTGTCTGCGTGTGTGCACTGGAGGTCAGAGGACAACTTGCAGGCATCACCCTTGGTAGCAAGTCCTATTTTTAGATTCTCAAGAATCAGAACATCAGCGCCTATCATAGTGTTCATCCACCCAGGAGTCAAATGCCTTCATGCTTCTCCTGGCCTTTTAAAGATTTGTTTTTAATATTTTTAATTATGGGGAGGGAGGTATGTGCACATACGTGCAAGCACCCATGGAGGCCAGAGGCACTGGATTCCCCTTGGAACTGGAGCAGCAGGCATGTGAGCCACCAGACTCAAGCCCTCTGGATGAGCAGTATGTGCTCTTAGTCACTGAGCCATCTCTCCAGCCTCACTTCTCCCATTTTTGAGAAACTAGAACCAGGAATAGCAATATTCTTTCCCTGCCTTCAGCTTCTGGGTAGCCCAAAGCACATGTGACAATTCATTTCCTATTTCAGACATCCTTCACAGGACAGCAGTGAGCTTCCCTTTTTAGAGTAGAACTACATTGCTCTGCCTGGGTTGACGCCAGCACCAACCACACAAGGCAGCTTCTGACATTTACCAAGAGCCCTGGGGCACTTGATGTCAGAGGAGTTGGCAGTCTTCTGGGGCAGCTGATGACTCACAGACCCATCCATCAGCTGCTTATTTTCAAAGAAGAACTAGGAAATAGGCCAGCCTCTATTTTCAGACTTCTCCATGGCAAGGAAAACTAGAGTATGTTTTGAAAACAATTAGTATAGTTTTGAGCCTTTGCCAATGCCCACCAGTCTTTAAGAATTTACTGACAGCTAGGTGTGGCGGCACATGCCTTTAATTCCAGCAGAATTAAAGGCAGAGGTAGGATGATCTCTGTGAGTTCAAAGCCAGCCTGGTCTACATAGCAAGTTCCAGGTCAGCTGGGGCTACAGGAAGACCCTATCTCAAAAAGACCAAAAAAGAAAAAAAAAAAAGAATTTACTGACAACTACTGAGAGTTGAAGGGTCATCCAGGAAGAAAAACAAGAAAATCAAAAATTTTAAGTCCCAATACAACATCACATATGAATTCTACCAAAAAAACTTTGCTTACAGCAACATAGCATCAACTGGTGTCATCCAATTATTCATTCAACAAACATTCAATGAGCCAGGTTTTGTGCCTACATACAGTGGTAAGTAGGTTCTATTCATGAAGGCAGGGACTTGTTTAGTTCCTTGCAATATCCTCAACACCTAGAATAGTGCAAACCCACAGTAGAGTCTACATAAACAGAAGGATGCTATGACATCATCTGGAACTGCAGGCACACAGTGGGCACCTAATACACATGGGTGGCAAATATAAGAAAATGGACAGGGCTGTGTTAGTCTTTGCCTAGAAAGTTGTTTGATTTCTGAGGGCTCTATGTAGGAGCTGTCCATATCCAGCAGAGATGTGCAATGGAACATTATCTTCATCCAAGAAAACAGATCTGCTCAGGACTCTGTGGTTGGCTCAATGGCATCACTCACCCAAGCAATCTGAGATGGGGAACCAACAGGGCACACATCTCCAGAGAAGTCACATCAGGAAGTCACACGGGGGCCAGCAAGGTGGCTCAGTTGGTAAA